TATATAATAATTTACGATATAGGCAGAAACTCTATCAAACTAATCCTTGTCTACATCTAATGACCCTAAATTAACTCTGCTTAATAACTTTGCAACAAGCATTCCAAAACTCCTAATAACTTTTTGTTTCATACACCTCTCCAGTTCAGTTTTCCCCACCCACCAAAGACAGGTTTCATCATTATTACACTTATCGCAAAAAAACTCAAACTCCTTGAAAATCAATTTTCAGTAACCTCTTCCAAGCTGTTATATTCTCTTTGAAACCTTATTCCTCTTGAGATCAAAAAATTCCACAGTAGTGAACAACTTTTTCAATAGGCGGTAAGTCGAAAACCTGATGCTTCATTTAACCTTAACCTTAGATACTTTTTTGCGAAACAGTTATCACTAGACTCACCTAAGAACACTAATAAGCTCAGGCATCTTGATCACTAACTATGACGCTTTAACTTCCTTCCCATACTCTACTTCCGTTCGCCTATGGAACTACTACAGGAAAGTACAAGTGTATCATAGTCACTTAAGTAAAAAACCAATTACCTGTGAAAACTCATCCTTACTGCACACTGCGAAGTATGCCTTACGTTTATAATCAGAAGCAACTTTGAGCACACGATTACGCCAATAGTTTGTACCTGAAACACACTGCAGTTTTGGTAAAGAAATTTCCAAAAATAACCTCCACCAAATCATACTATGCAACAGGGTAAAAAGAAATATGAAACAACAAAGGTAAATGACCAAATAAAAAAGCAAACACCACGATTCAACAACGAGATAAATCAAATTGAATTTATTCGTTTACAAAGTTGAGACGCAAAAGGACCTTTAGGATCCAGGTTATAATCAACTTTGTAATAGACGACAAATAGTGGTTTCTTGACGAACTGAAAGAGATTCCCTTGAGTTCTAACGCCAGCCATTCCAACACTACAAGATTCAGATAGCTATACATTTTTGACAGTTACCACGTTCTCCCTAGTTAGCTTTACATATTGAAAAAACCATTCAAATCGAGTACTATAAAATGCAAGCTCTTTTTACAATTAAACACGATTTCAATGTAACCAAAGTAAAAAACGGAAAATTAAGAGTAGACGCGCTTACGATTCATGTAAGAGGAACTCTTTGATCTTATCAGTATCATAATTGCCATCATACTTGAACACATCGTCATCAAACTTATTGTGAAACTTCTTTGGTACGTAGACCACAATATCACTAAAAAGCAAAACTCTTTTCTAAAAGTTGATTTAAAGTAATACTGCTGATTGGAAATCTCAGAAATTACTCCCAAACATATCTCGAAAACGACAATCAGAAATAGAAAACACAACTCCATACCATAATAAGACACGTCACATGTTTTAACGGCTCAATATACCTGTAATAAGAACTAAATTAAACGATTTTAACAATTAAACTAACTCCGCGTATCCAGTATGTTTGATAATTTCTGACTCGCTAGTATACGCAAATCGAAAACGATCACGTTCTGTATCGGCAACCTTCAGGAAAGAATCTTTGAGTTTGCTTTCGGTCTCAAAGAAGCCTGAAAAATAAGATCTGCACAATTTGCCAATAGCTGCGGCAAAAGAAGAAAACAGATACATTATTGCACAGCTCTGATGAGAAGTTAAAAAAAAATACCTAACTAATAAACGAAAAATTGACAATAGAACTTAATAGGCGTACCAATAACACCATATTCATCACTGGCTGTGAACTTCTCAAAATCTTTCAATGTCTTCAGCTCCTTCGCTGACGGCCCAGCTTGGCCTCTCATATATTTAACAATGCCTTCGGCTTCACGCGGTCCGTCATAATCTTGTGCAAGGTTTCCATTTCGGAAAATTTTCAATGTTGGAAACCCGCTTACGCTAAATTTTTCACAGGTCTTCTTTTCGACGGTACAGTCGACCTGACAAATACAAATAGCCCTAAGAGAAGCAGCCCAAAGAAAAAATTAATTGAATAATACAAAAAAAAAAAAAAAAAAAAAAAAAAAAAAAA